CCCTTTCCCACCCCCTTAAACCCGTGGAACCTTCTGCCCAGTTCGGACCAGTCCGGCCCAGTTCAGCATCGGGGGGTACTGGGAGGGGACTGGGATCGACTGGGAGGGACTGGGAGGGACTGGGAGGGACTGGGAGGGACTGGGAGGGACTGGGAGGGACTGGGAGGGACTGGGAGGGACTGGGAGGGACTGGGAGGGACTGGGAGGGACTGGGAGGGACTGGGAGGGACTGGGAGGGACTGGGAGGGACTGGGAGGGACTGGGAGGGACTGGGAGGGACTGGGAGGGACTGGGAGGGACTGGGAGGGACTGGGAGGGACTGGGAGGGACTGGGAGGGACTGGGAGGGACTGGGAGGGACTGGGAGGGACTGGGAGGGACTGGGAGGGACTGGGAGGGACCCTCCCAGTTCATCCCAGTCCCTCCCAGTTCCCCCCAGTCCCCCCCCAGTCCCCTCCCAGTTCACCCCAGTGCCTCCCAGTATCCCCCATTCCCTTCCAGTGCCTCCCAGTTCATCTCAGTCTCTTCTAGTCCCATCCCAGTTCCCTCCCAGTTTATCCCAGTGCCCTCCCTGTCACTCCCAGTATCCCCCTAGTCCCCCCAGTCACCTCCCAGTCTGTCCCAGTCCCCTCCCAGTATCACCCCAGTTCCCACCCAGATTCTCCAGTTGGGATGATACTGGGAGAGACTGGGAGGGGATTTGGATGAGCTGGGATGAACTGGGATGAATTGGGAGGGGACTGGGAGGGACTGGGATGAATTGGGAAGGGCCCTTGAGTGAACTGGGATGAACTGGGAGGGACTGGGATGAACTGGGAGGGCACTGGGAGGGCACTAGGATGAACTGGGAAAGACTTGGGGGGACTGGGATGAACTGGGAGGGAATTGGGATGAACTGGGAGGGGACTGGGATCAACTGGGAAGGACCGGAATGAACTGGGACAGTACTGGGATAAACTGGAAGGGAACTGGGATCAACTGGGATGAACTGGGAAGGGGCTGGGGGGCACTGGGATGAACTGGGAGGGCACTAGGATGAACTGGGATGAACTGGGAGGTCCCCCTTTTACCCCGGAGGGCACCGGGATGGACTGGGAGGGGATTGGGGGGGACTGGGATGGACTGGGAGGGGACTGGGATCAACTGGGAAGGGACTGGGAGTGGATTAGGGGG